CCGACACTACCAAGAAAACGAGAAAACTACTAGCCCGGAGCTGCCCACCTAACTACCTCTGCATTTTGGGCCAATTTGCCAAACAAGCCTGTCTTGGTCCAGGCCTCCCCTTCATCCATGATCCGCTGCTTGAGGAGAGGTACTGATGGCGTTATACCATTGAACACCACGTCGTTCCTGTGCTTCCAAAGCATCCAAAGGACGAGAAGAGAGGTTGCTCTTGTAGTTTTTCGGTTTGGATCCAGTAGGTCCTGCCTGATGCACCATGAGCTGAGGTCTTCGTTTCCAAGCGGTACAAAAGCAAACCTGCCCGTGACCCCAGTAATCCAGTGCCAAATTTTCCTAGCGAACACACAATCCAGCAACAGGTGGTTGATGGATTCGTCGGCTTGACCACATAGCGGGCACGAGTCTTGATGTGGAAGGCCTCTACTGGCGAGTCGGTCGGAAGTTCAACACCTGTTCTTGAGCGCGAGCCAGGCGAAGAAGCGGCATCTTAGGGGTGCCTGGGATCCCCAGATGAAGGCCGCCGTTGGTGACACCTCAAGCCCCATTAATTTGGCGGCATAAGCTGATCGCACAGAGAATTTGCCGTTGCTTTCCCAGCTCCACGAAATCACGTCTTGTTCGCCCAACCGTCGTCCGCACCGTAGCCACACGATCCCAGAGCTCGAAGAATTGAAGCAGAGCAGCAGGTTGGAGGTCCGGACCGATGTCCCCCACCCAGTTGTTGTTCTGAAGTGTGCGCCCCACCGTTTTCGATCTTTTGATTCTAGGTGAGATCTTGGCGTAGATGAGAGGGGCCAGATCGCGTACCCGACACCCGAGAAGCCACTTATCTTCCCAGAAGAAGATGGATGTCCCGTCTCCCACAGAGATGTTCACTGCCGCATCCACAAGTGCCAGAGATTCTTTGGGTACCTTGATTTGAAATTTGCTCCAGGGCCTGTCTTTGTCATACTTCTGCAACCACGGCCACCTGGCCTGGAGGGATTTGTTCAACCATTGCAGGTTGGGGATTCCGAGGCCACCCGCCCATTTAGGTTTGCATACAGATTCCCAAGCCACAGAGCAGTTGCCACCGTTCGCTTCTTCCTTACCACACCAAAGGAAGGCACGACATATCTTGACGAGAGCTGCAATCGTTTTCGCCGGCAGGTCTAGGGCCATCATAGAGTGCACCGGGATTGCACACAAGACAGATTGAATGAGCAGCAACCGCCCACTCCTCGGAAGCATAGCCGCCTTCCAGAGAGGGAGCTCGTCTCCTACCTTGTCCACGAGAGCTTGTAGCTGTGCAAATATCTGGGGCTGCCGACGACAGATGAACTTATCAATCCAATTACGGGTTCTTGGGACGAACAGTTGATTCGGTCACTTTTCTGGGCTCCGGACGCAACACTTATCATTGCATTGCCTCTTCGGGAGGATATGGGCGACACATGGGCGTGGCATCGTGATGGACGAGGCTGTTTTACAGTCAAATCGGCGTACAAGCTATGCCGTCAGATGGAGAAAGTGCAAAATGGTGAGCAAGGTAACAGTGGCTGGAACTAGCAGTAATTTTGATTGGAAGATTATTTGGCAAGCACCATGTCCGATGAAAGTGCATCAATTTCTGTGAAGGGTGGCGCACAATAGTATGCCAGTATGCATGAATCTTTGGCGTCGGGGTATGGATATTGACAGCTTATGCCCAGTTTGCCAGCGGCAGGATGAAGATGGTTGCCACACGTTTTTCAAATATAAGCACGTTAGGCAACTATGGCGTGCTGTAGGGATGGAGGATGTACGTCTGATGTGTGAGCAGCTGCACAGTCCTACAGAAACAATCCAATTTCTTCTACAAGGCAGTGAAGAACAGAAGGCCAGGTGTGTAGCTCTTTGTTGGTCATGGTGGAATGCGAGAAATACGTTCAGAGAAGAAACAAGAAAGATCGATATAGACAGTCTTGTTTGGCAGATAATGAGTAAAGAAAGGGGGTTCTTGCAGTACTTTGGTAGTAAGTAGCAGCCCAAGCAAAATACGGAGATATTGTGTAAACCACCGCAGGACTACCACAAGATTAATACTGATGGCAGCTATAACAGTGGCAATGGATCAGGTGGTTGGGGCTACGTGATCGTTGCGGGAGCTGGTGGTATAGAGCACGCACATGATGTGCTGCATACAGAGGTTGAGGCATGTGTCCAAGCAATACATAGAGCGCATGAACTTGGCACTAGGAACAGATACTACACTTTTGGTCCAGGCGATCAAGTCGTCAACTTATGATCTGTCCCCCAATGGAGTGCTCTTTAGAGAACTTAAGTCTTTTGTTTCGTCAAACTTTATTTTCTTTCACATTAATCATTGCCCACGGGCAAGTAATAAGGTAGCGGACGCTATTGCGCTGTATCGAAGATGGTGCATGCACCCCCGCACCGTATGGTCGGGTGATGTTCCTACCTCCGCCCAAGTTCATGTTGCCAGCGACTTAGCTTGGCACGTTGAGTAATGGAATGCATGGTTCCAGATTAAAAAAAAAAAGAGTTAGTTCCAATGTTTACCCCTCCTTTCGTCTTTTTTGACATGGATTATCCCATTTAAGCGAAATTCATCCATCTTACCCTATTTAACCAAAATATATGCCAGATTTTACCCCTCTTTAGATTTTTGAACATTCTGTCAATTGATTCCCACATAATTTGTAGGCGTTTTTCGATTCGCTTTGGTTCGGCTCCAAGCGCTGGAGGAAAATATCTTGAGCTGCTCCTCATTTAGACCCCATCAAATCGATCAATTTCATCCAATTCTCACCCATGCTACTTGAGGAGAAAGGTGTGGCTGCTCCCGGGTGCACCTACACCCGCATGAACAGTACACTTGAAAAAAATATAAAAAAATCCAAAAATGCAAAAAAAATGACATCAAACAAGATCAAAAGTTTTAGCTTTCCGTAAAATTTCATGACCAAATAACATTTGAGGAGCCCCAGCAAAAAAAAAATATCACTCCTGAAAAGTGAACAAAACTTTGAACACAGATTTTGTTATTTTTGCTGAGGGCTCCTCGAATGTTATTTGGTCATGAATTGCAAGAAGCTAAAACTTTTGATCTAGTTTGATGTCTCAAAATTTCAGATTTTTCCCATTTTGATTTGTATTTTTTTCAAGTGTACTGTTCATGCGGGTGTAGGTGCACCCGGGAGTAGAAAACCCAGTCTCTATCAAACATGTTATAATTTGGAACAGAGAGGAGTAGTATCACTATTAGCCAGCCGTAGACTTATTAAACCAAGAGATGCAGCGGATAAATGTGTTGTCACGTACTGCTCTCGGTGAGGGAATAGATCGACGTCCATGGGCAAGCTTCACCGTTATCATTTTACCAGTAAAACCCGGCCCTGCCCTGCCCTGCCCTTAATCGGGGTCGTAGCTAGGGAAAAAATGAGCAAGCTGCATTGCGTAGTGCTGCAATTAAGCTCACCAACAGCTTCCCCATAGGAAAGGAAAGATGCTAACCGATCGAAGTTTCACCCTTCATGCATGCAGTATCATGCAATGGAAAGATGCTAACTACATCTGATATACTTATATACTACTCCATCTATAAATATGTGTAGCTAGCTTCCATCTGTCTTGGCCGAGTGAGAAACTGAATTGCTTCTGCATGCCTCCTCCTATGCCAGCAGGCGCTAGAATTTGGATTGCTAAATTCCAGCATGCAGTAGGTGAAAACTTCCCCATAGGAAAGGAAAGATGCTAAACGATCCAAGTTTCATCAACTTTCAAGTTACTGACATTAACATGGAATGGAAGACGCTAACTGCACCAGATATATGTAGCAGGGATACCGCGCCGGGAATTACTCCATGCTTCCATCTGTGTCTAGCTCGGAGTGGGAGTATGTAGGTGATCGGAACTGAATTGCTTCATCGATGCAGCAACTCTTGAGCAGTCTGCATGCCTCCGCCGGTCCGAGCAGCTAGCTAGTTCCACTATATAAGGAGCTGCTACAATGCATGCGCCACGGTGCACCCTGCAAAGTCTTCTCAAGTCCGTTCTCTGCTGGTGGTCAACTGGAAGGCCATATCGTGCTCTCTGCTGCTGGCGAAGCAGAACAACGACGTGTGGGAGGGGAGCAAAGAAGCCACCAAACTAGGCGACCCTGACGACGGCATCGGGATCCACACCAAGCAGCAGGCGATTGATGATGTTCTCGTCGTGCTCTGGCCATGGAAGCAGAAGTGCAGCAAGAAAGTTACGTGGCTCGTCTAGATGTTCGATAGCCACGAAATGAAATACGTGCTGTACCACTCTAACATGATGCATTCATGTTCAGATGTGATCCCACACCCTACATGTAATATGTATACAAAATGCATGCATGTTGTGGTTCAACTTGAAATGAAATAAACGCAAATAGCGCTACATGCATGGACACTTCTTTTGGTGAAGGACTATGACGAAGCAGTCAGCAAGGGAAAAGACATGCCTCGGTTAATTAGAAAGCTTGGAGTAGCACACAGCATCAATCTGAGCACAAATCTTCCCCAATTCTCCAGTTGTTGTTTCTTCTTCTTGCACTCCAAGCTTTCGATCCAGTCCGATTTAGTCTCTAAACTAGTGCCAACAATCATACCGACGGCAAGGAGACATTATACAATCAATCTGAAATAACTATAACCACCGGATACCAGAAAGAAAAGAATCATCTTCCAGCCAAAACCTTGTCGTAGAAAGAAAAATATTACCGCTTTTCAACGGAATAGTAACCACTTGTTTGAGCATGATGAAGCACTCTAGCTATCCTTCATGTGAGCATGTCGACTCCCAGAACAAACTCTTTGAACCTGGTTATGCAGCCCATTGCCCGGTTGAATTCGCTGCTCTCTAAAGCAAAGCTGAACCGGCAGTAGTCCGGTATCCCGGTCCATTTACTACTGCTTATACACAGTCCAGTGGATCTAAGAATGGCTTCCCTGATGTTGCAACCATCGAGCGTGCCTTCAAAACCTTCAGTCTTGAATGATTTGCCAATGTAGGCTGTCGGTTTCGCCAGCATCGAGATACCACCATGACAGCCAGGAACATCCCAGCCACAGCTCACAAGTGTCTTTTCATTGCATAAAAAAGAAGAGCATGTCAAAAATTGCCTCGCAAACTCTACAACGCGCAAATTCAAGGTCCTCACAGCCAGTTGTGCAAAAGTGTGTCTAGCTAACTGCATATTACCATTTCCTCCTCGAAACAGGCTTTCGCCCCGCTTTATATATTAATAAAGCCATACGACCGAAGGTATTGAGGAAATCCTCAGAAACCGATCAAAACACAAAAAACGACAAAACTAGCCAGAACCGCTGAAAACCACCACTAAATGCCTCCACGAGTCGCCGAGAAGAAGCACATAGTACTCACACTCATCGGCGACGCCCCCAAGAGGGTCACGACATGAAGCACCGCCGCCGCCGTGTCCACCGAGGTAGACAAAGGATTTCACCCTAAGTGTCGGAGGGCAAGGAGAGGACCAAAGCGGCGCCCCAAGAGGAACGTAACACCCACGGGCATTACCGCCACCGGCACCAAGGCTCAAAGCTTTCGCTCAGCCCGACCCCCCTACCACGTCGTGGGAACAGGGCACAAACCCCTCCCCGTCAGGGACCCACCACAACAAACCAGGAACTCCAGATCCCACGACTAGCACTGATCACCCACCACAGCGCACCTCGCCACCCACATGGCCAAAGCGCATTGCCAACACCACTCACCATCCAAGACTGCCACCACGGAAACATGAGATCGCCACCAAAGGAGCACCTTTGTGCGGACATCACTGGCATAGAGATGGATCGCATGTCCCCGAGAGGAGAGACCTCCGGTAGCAAGGCCCAATCCCGCCTGGATCTAGCCCTCTGACCGACGATGCGTCCAGGAACGACACCTGCCGGCGACACCAGGCAGCACGCCTATGAACCCCCCTGCCTGTACGCTGCTGCCGAAGTCACCGGGCTACCCCCGACCGCCAGCCTGTCATGGTTCCTCTCGCGCCGCCCATCCAGATCCGTCCGGCACTGCGTCAAGGACCATCGTGCACCAAGCCGGCGAGGAAGTGACCCGTGCCGCCCAACACTGCCGCAGCCACGATCTGGATGGGACCATCATCCCTAGCACGCCACCACGCCGCCATCACCAGCTTGACCCGCAGAACGCCGCCGTCTGTCAAGCTCCGCCCGCCACAGCCTGCCACCGCTCGCCCAGTCCCGCGCGGGCTGGGACACAGCGGCCGCCAAGGAGTTCCTCCGCCCATAGAACTAGGGTCGCCACGAGAGAGCACCTTGCCGCCGCCGTCGACACGGGCTTCGCCCGGCGGCATCCTCCGGCAGCGACGCGAGGGGGGGAGGGGATTGGTCGAGTCGCCCTGGACAGGTACGACCGAGGTTTTTTTTTGCCCCCATATTACAATTTCTATGGAATAGTACAGATCAAACTGATTTTTCGATGGAATGATTGCCAACATGAACTCAAGTTACTCAGATTACACTAATAAGGTTCTGCCAATCTTTCTATGTGAAACTAAGATCTGAAGGGAGTACAAATTTAAGAGGGCAGTTCAGAATGTTACAAAAGGCTAACCTTTGCCAAGTGGTTGGCACGATTTTTCAGTGTCTCCTTTTGCTCCATGATGAGATTAGAGAAGTGTTGATCCCTCTTGTTCTTAAGACCCAATAGCTTTCTGAAAGTGTACTTCAATGTGCTATGTGGCTGACTCAAGTTTGCGAGATTATGTTCAACGTCGGACAGGTCATTGAAAATTAAAAACCCAAAATCAAGGCCACTCGCAGTCAGCCCAAGGGACAGCTCTCCGAGCATAAAAGCTATGAATGGGGGATCTAAGCAAACATTATGAGAAAATCTTTCCAAATTTCTCCAAGCCCAGCGGTCGGTTTGGAACTCCAGACCAGAGAAGGAGGTATCTATCACTACCCTAGCTCCATGCATAGCACAAATAGAAAGCAGATCTCTTATCTCTTTGTCACTGTATAGGAAACCAGAAGGGTTAATTGTAGGGCCAGAAATATAGACCCAGCAGGCCCAATTTTCTTCCTCAGTTAGAGCTTTGTTTAGAACCATTGGTTCAATCTTGAATCCTGAATCTGAATTTGTTGGAATGGTCGAGATGTTTGCGTTCATAAACTTTGCTGCTGAGACATAGTGCCCATTGGTGCCCAAAGGGAAAAAGAAGGTACCTTGTTCTTGCACGCAGCAAAGAACAAGCTTGTTGAAGAGTGCAACACAGGTGCTTCCATAGATAATTTCCATACCGAAGCCATCTAACCTGTCAGAATAACGGTCTCCTGGGAAACCACCATAGTAATGTTTCACCAGCTTTTTAATGCCGAAATGAACATCAGTTTCAGAATCCGTGATGTTCTGCCTAACAAAAATTTCAAAAATGGAAGTGTTCACCACAGAAGGTACTGGCAAGAAGCTGCGGTCTAGATCCATATGAATGATACTAGATTCCTTGGAGTCAGGAACGAAAAATTCAGCTTCTTTCAGGGTTGACATAGCTGAATTAGAAAATCCTATCATCTTCTGAGGTATCACTTCTGCAGGTTGTCTCTACAAAAGAGCAAGGAAACATCAAAAGCCTAACCAAAAAATAAACATTAAGGTCAAAAGATATTCCATAGGCCCCCTTTCTTTTTAAGTGTGATATTCCATAGATACCAGGGCATATTATTATTATTACTCATAGTTAGACATCAAGGAACATAATCAGTCATCCTACTGATATATTTAGATGTTCACTCTGAGTACCCGTTATCCAACTAAACGGCTGAGTTATGCTGAGAGGAATGTCCACTATTGGCACCATTAGACAGAACAGTTTTCCATTATCATGAGGATGAGTGGAAAACTGGGGGAGTTACGTCACGATTACCTCTCGCTGTGCATTGCCGGTTGTCAATTTGGAACGCCAGTAGCTCGTGAAAAAGACAGCCATAATACTGCTGGCTGATCACAGAAGTATGTCCTTCCAATAGCTCAATAGTTTGTGACAACGCCTTATAGACAGTTTCATCCTCAGATATGGCAAAACCAACTTCCAGATCAGAATAAACCTGCACAATAATCCAACTTCCAGATCAGAATAAACCTGCACAATAATCCAAAATAAGGTATAGCACATGCAGATTAAAATATTTAGGAAGTTTCTAAAGCAGGTGTAAAAATGCAGAGAAGTTCAAATACAGTGTAGGATCGTCTTTAATGTATAAGACCAACCATCAATCACATATACACATCCCCCCAGTGGGGTCAGGGCGTCAGGATGAGACACATAAGGTATTTAACTCATCATAATAAATCTTAGTTAAAAGGAGACATGAGAGGTCGATCCACCATGGAACAAAATTGATGTGGTAAAGTTATAGGCACCTGATCCTTTACTAGACCACAGAGTATAACTGCATGCGAAGGTAGGGTGTTCTCAGCAAGATACTTCAACACACCATTAGAGTTTGGCGGGCTAGACAACTCCAGATGCTTTGAAATATCTACGAAGAGCCGGGAACCAACATCTCTTGTTGCACTTAGTATATTCACTAGAGCAGCACTGGTGATAGCCTCAAACTTAGCCATGCCAGTAACAACCACCTGAGGCTTCAGTTTCCTGATCAACTCAATCAGCAAATCTGATTGGCGTGGTGCTGCAATTACAATGACTGTGTCTTTACCATGGTTACAATCTTCTCTTCCCTGAAATTTAAAAAAGAAGCATTAACATCAACATTCTTGAATCATCATATTTTCTTCACCTAACAGGCATGCCTTTTCCATTATTCCCGTCGAACAATTTTTTTTTTAAAAGCAGAAGAACATTGCACCATTAAGTAGTACAGACTGGGTGTTGCTTGAAGAAGTGTTGCACTACATTCACAAGCTGCATATGCATGCATGGGCCACACACAGGGAGTACCTCAATTGCTGAGGATGTTAACCATTGCTTCGGCAAGTGTCTGGTCAGATGTTCATCCACAATTGCAAGCGCCGGTGAGAACAGTCGAAGAGAAATTTCTATGGCAACAACACGAGAAGGGAATACAGCAACATTCTGGTGCACCAGAAAAAAAAGGAGGATCATATGAAGCACATGATAGAAGCGGCAAATAAGTTGATCCTATGAATTTTTGGTATAAGCGAACACAACTAAGAAGCCTTACATCAGAAGTTAATGGGATGTTGTAGTAGCTCTTCATAAATTCAGCAACAAGATTCCGGAAGTTTAAACATCCAAATGGAGGCTCACAAGGATTGGACTTATTCTCTTTCAAAAAACTAGCAAGGTATACTAGGAAGGCCATTTTTTCAGAAGCAACCGAATCATTATCAAAGGACAAATCAAGGGAGCTGCTGATTTCATTGAACCCATCTTTAAGAATCTCAAACAATTTCTTCACCTGAAAATCGTCTGAATTAGTACTACTTCCATCACTGTATTGTTTACTTTACAAATCTAAAGAGAGTGTGAAGGAACCTGAATGGGTTTGTGAAGTTGACAGCTATACACAGACAAAGCATGTGAAACACGGCCACCAGATTTCATGTATGCCTGGGCTGTGCGTGCAGAGACAGACTGATCCCCGGCAAGGTCCATAAAAAATTCAAATTGATGTGGGCTGTTTTGTTCAATTTCAACTAAAGCTGAAATATCAGTGTCGGCAGCCTGGAAAATTATCAACTAGTTGGTGATGATCCCAAACAAGAATATCAAATTGTAATATGAAACTATGAGGCAAGAAATGGAAAATCTATGCCCTACTAAAACCAGAACATAATGCTGGCATGGAAAGATTTCCTGGTTTCACAAAATTGATACCTGCATAATTTTTGTTTGCCAGAGCTTACTGATATGGAATCCACGGCGTAGAAATAGGCGTTCACAGACACCTTGACCTGGTCGGTCTCCTATGTTGAATATCATGATACCCATAGGCTTTATGACAGCTATCCCTTCTTCAACTGCCCGAGCAATCAACCCGAGGCCAAACTGGTCCTCAAAAAAAAACCTGGAGGTAAGAGATGCAACAAGTTTAGAAACATAACAAATAAGCACAAGGGAAATGGAATAGAACATTCAGCCATCATATGAAACATTGTCTTGATTAATACTATGTGTGCATCATGTCAAATGATGATGAAATGCTTAGCAACTGACAAAAACTTCTATTTATAGGGATCAAAAGAGATATGTTGCAAAAAAATGAAGTTGTGCAAAAGGTGGAAGTCGAGGTGAGAAATTTCAAACATGGAATACTGCCAAAAGAGTTATTCTAGTATCCAGCATTTAGCCTAGTTGCCCTTTTAATGTAGACTGCCAGTCCTGTCCTTCCTAACCATCCAGTTAAAGTGTTAAGCTGATTATGATACTTGTGGGACCAAGGTTTCAGTACAGATCCTATATTATTTATAAAAATTATTTAATTATATCAAAGCTAGCAACACATGCCTACAAGGAAATAGCATACACTCCTAAGACATTTTTTTCTTATATCTGGTTATATACAAAATGTAGTTACTTCAAAGAGCAATCAAGAAATAAGTTCACTCCAGCTAGAGAAGCGACATGAAGACAAATCGCCATTGGTATTAGGTAAACTGAATGGAATAAGTTCAAGACATTACACATGTCAATACATTTTCCGTAAGTGGTAATCATGAAGAAGGTACATCTCTACTTACCTGAAGAGCACAGTAGTTGCTCAAGGAGTACAAGAACTTCTCACTTGAATTTTCAGTCATAATCTTTGACATTGCCTCTGGATTGGGGTTAAGAATCTGAAAAGCAGATTTCGAGAGTAAGCAATTTCCTTCGGTTCTGGTCTACTATAATTTCCTTTCATGATACAATAATAACTAACCGTACCTGTGGTATGCAGCCAACAATGCAATCAAGTTCTATCTTGTTATCTATACAGTATGAAAGAAGATCAGATTCATGGAATTCAACTCTATCCAGCAATGTTTTTCCCTCCCTATCATAGACCGGGAGACCATTGTCGTCTAGGGCATTCAAGTATAGATTTATCCATGCAATCTTGATGGCCCTTGGGTTAATATCTAGACCATAGACCTGCAAAGAAATAAACAATGCTCAGCTTGGGTTCTGACAGAAACAACGGCTGGACTATGAAGGTAATAATTAGCTGCTTGCAAATTAATTTGTTTGACTGACATGTGCGGATCAAAATCTAATTGGATGTCATTTCCCTCTTTCCTGCTTTAAAGGACACACTGCTCAGTTCAAGAAAAAAGGACACAATGCTCAGCGTGGTTTGAACAATGTGTGGTATTAGACTAGATCCTTGCTCAAAATTGAATAATAAATGCTCGGTAGATATTATTTTCCTCAGAGGTACCAAAAGTGGTATATCATTATAGCAAAGTAAATGTATAACTGATGTGGCTCCCACTTCTGTAGCAACGACGATAAGATAAATTATTGACAGAACTAGAGAAAACCACCTTCAAAGGGGACAACTTCTCTGCAAGCGCAATAGATATCCAACCATTGCCACACCCCAGCTCTCCATACGTCTTATCCCTGGAAGTGGAATCTTGATGCTGATTAAGGCCCTCATAAAAAGCGAAGGACCAATCTTCAGGAGTGAAAATGCTAGGTATCTCCATCATTGTTAGCTTCGTGCTTTGCTGGAACCCTAGAAGCAGCTGCTAAATTAGAAGAGAAAAATTGATAGTAACACTCTCCAAAGTATGTAGGCTATGCCCTATTTTTTTTCTTACTGCAATAAGTTTGATCGCTGCAGTTAGGATTGTTCTGCCAAAGATGAATTGTAAGAAGAAAAATAGATAGCATCAACCTCCAAACTCTGCAGCTTACACAAAAGAATGAAAAAAACGATGCTTAGAGGCCATGAAAACATTTCTCTGAGTACCATTTGACCAATGCCTTGATGTGTGCTAATCTCATGTGAACTTCCGTTGATCCTCTATGACTATCAAACTTCCACAAGAAAAGAAGGTGGTCACATTGAAGCCATATCTTTGAATGCAACTAGCTCCCACAAAAACAAAAAACAAGTGTCTGTTTTTGGTTCACTTTCTCACACACATAAATCTGGCTCCAACTAGTCACCAAAAAAAATCTTGTTCCCACAAAAATAAATAGTATATCCATATATTTCTAAACAACGTATAGGGAATCTCAGTAAAAAAAGTGCTAGGGATCAGATACACTAACAGAGTAAGCCTCACACAAGGAGGCACATCACATTATGTGCAGTACCGGATTCGGAAGCAAACGCTAAAAGTTAAATAAATCTCATCAAGTAAACTATGTCAGACAGATCCGGAGTGCCATTGTTTCCATTTTATATGAGCACCAAAAGTCCAAAACAGAGAGTGTGAATTATTCAACAAGCGAGACTGAAGTGTTCCCTGCATAAGGAGCAGGGGGATCAAGTCTCTGCGCAATTACACACTCATAATCTCACACACAGTTGCAGTCGAGGGACACCTAGCGCTTACATTAGTCAGCAGCATTATATTTATAGGCCGCCACATGCCCACATGGTTGACACTCCAGTGGAATCGCCCACGCGCTTTGCCTAAACACTACAATAACCCATAGACGTGGCCATTATAATTTTGACGGCCAGACGGCCGATTTCCGCGAAAGGTGATACGTT